GCTGCAAGGTGGCGAAGTCTCGGTGGGGCTACGTGGCCGTCTCTCGGACCACACAAGACTGGAGTATGCTGGGCGTACTCTTGGTACGCTGGGCGTACCAGGTGGATAGGATCGGACTCGTCAGCTCTTCGGATCCTATCCGAATAAATAATAAAAATTTATATTATTTAAAAACTTTCAAAATACATATTTTCCTCATACGAGCTCCGTTTTTTATGTTCTTTATATCCATGCGTAGGTGAGACTATGCTCTACAACTTCCGTTTAGACTCCGTTGGCTAGTTTTGAATTTATTTTTTATTTTATTATTTTTAGTTGGCCGGGACAGAAAATTTTCGTTAGAAATTCATAACTTCTTCATCTGACGTCCGTTTTCGTCTGTCTTTTCACCATTGGACTACTATCGATGAGATCTTCGATTCTCGTTTAGATTGTTTCTGCAAAATATCACTCGATCTCAATTTCGAGATTAGGTTGTATACCGCTAAGTCGAAACTTAGAAAAATCATAACTTCTTCATACGAATTCAGATTTGGACGTTCTTTTTATGCACGCTCTCGGTTTAACGTATTCTACGACTTTTATTTAGATCGTAAGGCTAAATATCGCTCTAACGTAAATTCAGTTTTTACGTCGCGCTATGTCGTGTCGGTTCTATCACGAAACTTCGACATGTCATAACTTATTCGTTATAACTCGGATTTCAGATTCTTTATATATCTGGAATCCTTGTCACGACCACTACAACCTAGTTAAGATTATTCATTTTAAATAATCTTTTATCATAAAGTCACTTTGATGCTTATCTTCTCTAATTTGACTAGCACGGATCTACGCGCGTTACAAAGGCTTCCAAAAACCCAAACGGATTAATTTTTCGAGTTGTAGAACTCTAGGAAATCGCGTTTAAAGTTTCTCATCTAAATGACCCAAAACGATCGATTTTTTTTACGTTTGCAAATATTTTGAGTATAAAATTAAATATTAGACCATAACCTGAGTCAAAAATGCTCTTGGAATTTGCATCTGAGGTGTGCAAGTTCCTCAATGAATCGATTCGATTTTAGCAGTCTAAAGAAAGCCAGTGTTTTACTAGTTTATATTTTTTACAACTGTAATATCTTTTGCATACGAACTCCATTTTGGATGTCCTTTATACTTTTGGAAATAGGGGAACATGTACTATGAGATTAAAATGTTTGCTTCGCTCACAACTACTTAATACGAATTTTCAGTTTTTCAGACATATTATATGGGTTGTAGTTTGAGCCGTTTAATTTGTTTGATAGTTTACACATTTGGAAGTAAGGTATCATTTGGTTTCTTATAATAGTTGGAATGAACTTATTTATTTTACAAAAGATACACTAAAACTCAATGAGTTAAATTACAAAGGGATTTACTGTGAATTAGTCGTCCACAGTTTTTGACCTAAATTCCGGGATGTCACACATCATACTTTTGGTGCTAGCTTTCTGAAGTAGATATGAGAATCCTAAAGTTTTATATCCGATTATAACACAAAGGTATGTATTTTGTTTTATGAATATTGATTATTCCTAGGGTTGATGATTATAATATGTAAAAACATAGATCAATAGGTTGCATGTGCCTAATAATTAGATTATTATGAAATTCCATGGTGCAAATATGTTTAATGTAACCTATAAAACCCATTAGATTCTTCATCATCTACCCAACTTTCCACTTCTGGTACTAGAATTTTTACATCAAAATTTTCCTTTTCAAAGATGCCAAAATCTTCTTCTACTTCACTTTGTAATCTTCATTCATGCACCTTCTAGGACTTGCATTCCCTGACCAAGTGATAAGTGCCTCCACAATTGAAGCACTTTGGTCCTTCCTTCTTCTCAGTAGGAATATTCTTACGAGCATCGTAGTCCTTCAACGCTGATGAGTCAGACTTTGGGGGAAATCTTATGGGTTCATAAGGTAATTTCTTGTTACTTCGGCTAATATAGTGTTTGACTATCAAGGCTCGACCTTCAGATTCATCAGAAAAGTCGCTGTCACTATTTGGGGGTGACTTTTTTGAATAGAGGGCTACAAATCTATCCCTGTGAGTGATAATTCATCTGCGCAAAATATTTGTTTCTTCATGATTACAAAGATTTCAAAATAATTAAGACATATCCATGGTTGCGATTTTTTCATTGTTCTTTAGAACATCAATGTGATGTTCCCATCTACCATTCAGCGAGTCAAGAAACTTGAGGACCAAGGAGCTTCTCATTTTGTTCATGTTGAGATGATGCATATCATTCACTATGTAGTTAAAGCGATTGAAGACTTGAGTAAAAGATTTGTTTTTCTGTTGAAAAAAATGCTTGTATCTTCAATTTAGGCTGTTCTTGTTGACGACCTTAACTTCATTTGTTCCTTCATACACTACGGTCAATGTACCCATTGTCTCTTTGGCAGATCTACAATTTTGAACAAAATTGTATATGTCATAAGGAAGAGTGTTTCATATGGTTGCACAAGCTTTGACATCAAGAGCTACTGGACACTTTTCAATGAATTCATGAGCAGGTTTTTGGATCTCATCACCATCCTTAACGTTATCCTTCATGGGCTGATACATAACATGAGGACCATGCTTAATGATATCCAACATGGAATAGTCCATGGTTTCAAGGACCATCATGGGTTTTTACTTCCATATAGTGAAGTTCTTCTATCAAACTGTGGAATTTTGTGACCAAAAGTGGTCTTAGAGTGAGTGGATGAAAAAGAAGAAGACACTATTAATCAATATAGTGACATGCTTTGATATCGGTTGATAGATACATGATCGAGACCGATTAACAAAAAAGACAAAGAACAAAGGTTTATCACAAAGGTTTTCACTAAGAAAGTTCTCACAAAGAGAACAAACACAAAGCTAGGGTTCATGAATCAACTAATAACATGAACCCTGAATACATGATTTTATAATAAAAGCGAAGATATATGAATCCCTACAAATCTGGGATTTCATCTCATCTATGTAAATACAATATACGATATCCATAAGATATCAGATATGCTAACTAATTACGCATATAACTATATATACAAAACATTATCACGTTGACGCTGGCTCTGTAGATTAAGTCTTCACACTAGAGCTGATGGAAGTCAGCATGACCTCGTTTTACTTCATCAGATTCTAAGGTTCGACCTTACAAAAACCATCCAACTAATCCACTCAATGATCATGTCTAATCCTACAACATATGACCATGCTACTATCTTTCCTCATGAAATCAACCCCACGGTCACCATCCTTATGTTTAACTCACTGTCTTCTACATACCCTAAGCTCATATTCAGATCCCATGATGGCATGTGCCACATATAGGTTCGTCAAACCCATTCAATGCATCAAACCTCACACCAATATAACTTCCACTGTGCCTTGTTCATACCTACAAGCTTTATATGATCCTAACTAGCTAAATTCCATGAGGAGTATAATTCTCTTATTTTTAATTGCAATTAGGTCCTAGTTCTATGATTGTTGTCTATGAATATTGTGTGGTTCAGATGGATCTACAAAAATAAACTCAATACTAGATGAATCTACAAAATAAACTCAATACTGATGACACCCTTGCCATTATAAAGATCTTTTAGTTGCTAATGGTTAAATCCAACACCCTAACATTGATTGTGATGAGAAGTTTAGTCTAGTTTTCAAACCAGCTACTATGCATATGGTTCTCAATCTCATTTTTTCGAACAATGACATGTTCATTAACTTGACCTGAAAAATGCATTTCTGTATAATTATCTTTAGGAAACAATTTATATGCATCAACCACCATGTTTCCTTGACACTCGTTTTCCTAATTATGTTTGTCACTTATCTGATTATCTCATACTAGTTTATAACCTGTGAGAACCACGGTTACAAAATTAATTAAAATTTTAAAGTAAAAACTCAAAATTATTAATTAATTATTTTAAACAAATTAACAATTAATAGATTTTTTTAGTTATATAAATGTTAATCATTTATTTAAAAAATATGTGAAATTATATAATTTTATAAATTGTATTAATTTTATTTTAATTTTTATTCTAATGTTATTCATTTAATATAATTAAAGGGGAAAATTTAAAATTTAAAGTTTGAAATGGAGTTGACAAGTGACATCCATTAATTATGAGGCATAATAGGATAACACATGGCAAAAGAAGAATAAATATGCATTAATTAAAAGACCTAATAGGATGACACATGTCAAAAGGAGAATACAACTATTCTTTTATTAGAATAGGGATTCAAAGAGTTCTCATATTCACTTTTCTGGAATTGTAACGAATGGCTCTGCACCCGCGAGTAGTTATCAAACAAAACTATTTATAGTAATAAGAGAGTCTAAGTAGATGTGAAAAAAAAACCACCAAGTCCAATTAGTTAATGGTTCAATACTGATTTTAACGGTTCAATTTAACAGGTTCAACTGGGTTTTGTAAAACCCGAACGGTCCATTCTTCCCAGAAATAAATATAAAACCGGTGCTAGTTGAACCACTCAATTCTCCGATATTTGGTCCAACCGAGTCGGCCAACAATCCAATCCGGTTCTTAAAACATCAGTCCTAATCGGTTTTTAAAACATTGCTAATTGATATATAGTTTGCATGTGTTAATGTATTGTGATCAACTTAGTTTAGTCAACCGTTTCCTTTGTGAGTCTATATATATTATCGATTAACACTACTTTTAAGAGAAAAAAATCGTTTATAATCTTATACAAATATAAAACCGATGTTAGCAACAATGGTGTTTATAACAAACATGCCAAAAACATAGAAAACCAAAGGAAGAATCATATATAATGATGATAAGATACAAAAAGACTTCGAATCAAACTTTTTACTACGAACGTTAACAAACTCATATCTTAATATCCTTAAATAAAAAAAGAAAAATTCATAACTTAAAACTTCTAGAAATCTACTGATACCACCGGGCCATAAGACAAATTATCAGAAGAAAGCACGACTACCATAGAAAACCCGTCCACCTTCTTTCTTCTTCTCCACATTGTTCTTTGGTCGTTGAATAATATCCCCACGATCTTCTCCTTCAATCTTTTCAAGATTCAGTGGCAACTTCATCTTCGCCAAAGACTCAGTAAACTGTTGCATACTCCTCATATACATGTCAACAATCTGTTGCTGCATTGCAGGTTCTTCATTTGCCTCTTTCTTATCGTTCAAATTGTCAATCTTAGGAGAATTCGATGATTCCCCTACCAAAGTCATCTTTTTTTCGGATGAATCAGCTGAGTTTCTATCGTCACTTAAACTAGTCATTGTTGAACTAAAGAAACCCGAATTCTGAATGCTATCTTGAGGAGAAATCGAGCCAGAGTTGACTGTCATTTCGTAGTCATCCACTTGATCCGATGCTCCTAAACAAAGAAACGAGCCCGGACCAACAAGTCTTGTTGGTCCGGGCTGGTTATGGTTCTGCCCGGAATGAACATTCCGGGCATATCCAGAACAACCATTTTGAGATAACCCGAAATACTCGGAAACCATCTGTTGATTTTCTCGAGCTACATTGATATCTGGGAATTCGATATCAAGAGCAACCTCAGAGATCTTTCGATCTAACAAAATAACTTCGGATGTTATGGACGAATTGTTGGAAGAAATAAGGGAAGAATCAAAAGGGAAATTAGTATTTAAAGAAAGACTCAATCTGACAGTTCCAGCAGGAGAATGAAATAAATCAGTGGAAGAAAGACTAAAATCTTGGGTTAATTCTCCTTTTCCAAGAATTAGAGATAATGGAACTAAAGAGAACCCCAAAAGCTGATCTTCCATGAAATTCTTAGCCCTACTAAGCATCCACATTTCGCACTTGAGAACAGCATCGAATTGAGTGATTTTGATCGCTAATTTCTCATTGAATTCTGGGTTTTTACCACCACCATTGATGATCCTGGTTGATAAGGTTTCATCAGGGTTATAAGTAAGGGAGAATTTGGCATAAACATCTTGGTTTTCGTAGATACATATGTTATGAATGTTTCTCGCATGATGAATAAATATTTCAAGAATCCCAGAAAATTCAATACTGTCTTCAGTGGGGTTATAGCGAAACCGAGTGGTTTGATCATACGTATCCATATCAAAATCAAAAGGAAACCCAAGGAACTGAAACTAACAGAATCAAACGAATCAAGAACAGAAACTGAAACACCCATATACTTCGACAACCATGGTGATCAAAGGGGTTTTCAAGAAAGACCTATCTAATCTACTATTCGTATGAATTAAAGGGAAAGCATAGTAACTGTTACTTGAAGAAATTGAGTGAATTGAAGCAACAGCATATGAAAGTCTAGAGAGAGAAAGTGGAGACTTACAATGGGAAAATTGGAGTTGATTTTTTTGGGTGAGTGGGGGGTAGTAGGTGGGGTAAAGAAAGGAAGAAAATAATCATAAGGTATGATGATGTGAGAGTGGTTGTAGTTGCTGTTCAAAATGTTTGATTGTTGTTTCTTTCTCCACTTACTCTTCTTCCCTCTCTCTCTTTCTATATCTATATGTATATGCGTGTATTTATAGTGAGAGAAAAGAGGGAAGAGAGACTTTTTGGTTGGAGGATTTAGTTAAAGTCAATTGCTTTATATTGCAGCTTCCACTTCCGGTGAGCATATAGAGAGATATAGAGAGAGACGATTTGGTGATGACCCACAAAGAGGAAGAGCACGCACACTCCATGGTTTCGGAGGTTGGGATATGGAACTGGAAGCATATTTGGGTGTGTCCCTTTCAATGTGGGAAGGCAAGAAACTTGTCGTTAGATTATTTCAATAACTAATTTTATTATTCTAGTGCAAATTACAAATTTAGTCCTTGTGGTTTCATGATATCCTTGAACTAAGTCCATGTTTTCAATTGTATTACCACCATCCTTATTGTTTGATTTTTGTTGCGATTTTGGTCAATTTAAAACATTAAATGACGATTTGTCCAAATTTATGTGCTACTGTTTTCTTAATATTTCTTTGTAATTCGATTGGAAGCTTTAATGGAGACTTATGGTTTATTTTATTGTAAAATTAAGAGGAGTTGACTGCATGCTAGTTTTTAAAAGAAAATTTTGGTTGTGTCTGGTACGTCACAGTTAGCTGATAAGCTAGTTTATTTTTTGAACTTTTTTAAATTGTCATGTTTGGCAAACCAAAAAGTAGCTGATAAGCTAACTTTTTAAAAAACTACTTTAAGGAGCTTGTTATGAGCTTTTTAAAAGTTTCCTTAATATACCCTTATTTAATTACCAAAAACGTATTATTCTAAATGTCATTTTATATTTTTCAGCTAGTTTTTACCAAACATTGTTTTTTGTCACCTAGTTTATAAGTTAGCAGCTAGTTTTTCAGCTACCAGCTAACTTTTCAGCTAGTCTGCCAAACATACCCTTAAAGTGTATAACCGTTTGATTTTATTATTAGTTAGCTTGTAAGTAACTATATTACCAACACAGTAAAAGAGGATGACTACTTTACTTGAACAATTCGATCAACTCAACTTTATAAGTTGTTGGATGGTATTAATTCAATTGGTTCGATCTTTATCATTTTTTTTAAAGTGTGACACGGATGCTATCTTCTCTGTTTAACTTCTTATACGAATTTTTAGGTTTTGAAAAATTTCATTACAATATTTTCTTCAACATGTTTATACTATCATGTTCATATTGTCTACAAATTTTGGATGGACTTACATTTGTTGTTTGTTTGGGTTGATAAGAAGTCGACTAGGGGAGAGATATAGAAAAGGGAGAGAGGTTGCAAGTGCGAGTTACACAAAAAGAATACCAACCGCCAAGAATGGTCGAGATTTTTCATTTGAAGATTACGAGTAATTAATAAAATATGAAAAATAAATAAATTCATGTTATGTTGACAGAGAAATCATAACAAAGTTAAATTATGAAAATGATTAAATCTTACAAAAAAAAAACCTATAGGTACTAAATTTCTAGTTTACTCTTTTATGTTATAATGATATGTTTTATACAAATTTATCTCATTATCATTATTTTATATACTTATAAAGCATGCATTTTCCCTTGATTGTCATGCATTTGAAACCCCCCACAATAATTTGCTAAATCCTCATGCATTTGAAACCCCCAAATCTTTTCACATTTTTAATAATTAATCACGCATAATCAATGGTAATTCATATGGGATAATAATTTGCTAAAACCTCATGCATTTGTATGGTATTAGAACATGTTTGAGTTTTTGGGTTTTAGACTTTAGTAAATGGGTAATCCGTTTGATACGTTGGATTTGAAGCTATCTTATTCGAATTACCCAAAAGAAGAGATAAATTAATAATATATGCTCATGCATGTTTTGTACAAATCCCAATCAAAATACAATATATCATGATCATACAATTAAGTGTCTTTTATTCCATTTTTGGCTTTATAATAAAAGTTTGTTTACGTGGCGAAGAAAGAAAACTTAAAGATGAATATTTAGGTTGGATATTTATATAAGATTTGTTTTAAATATATAATATGGATATAAATACAGAAATGTTTGTCAAATACAGAAATGTTTGTCAAATACAGCCCATCACAAATTTAATGTTATAAGCTAAAATAAAACTCAAAATGGTTTTCCTTATATAATGTTTATACTATAATATAATATATTAGAAGAATACCATATAGTAGACGAATCCCGCATGTCGTGCAGAAATTTAGTTGCATAGATGATATATTATAATTATATATCATTTAAAATATGTTAGGGTCATTTGGTTATTACATTGTTGTATTAGGCACTATAGTCTCATATATTTTGAATGACTCTTACAAAAACGATGTCTGTAATTTGAATATAACGTAATATCTTATGATGTTTATTAAATGATATTATCTTCAATTGAGCACTTTTTAATTGAAATCAACTTTATTATAGTAAAAACTTTTAGCTCCGTTTTTTGTTTTCATTAGTTCTAGAATATGATTTTTATATTAACTTAAAATATGTCACTCTCTTAAAAAAGATTGAGAATTAGATTTTTTATATTTACTTAAATTACAACACCATTTTCTATTCAATAGTAAAACTAACAAAAGTTGTTAAATATGTACTTTTATGAGGCTCAACATAAATAGACGGCAACAAATGAGAATTCATATCTAATCAATCATCAACTAATTAAATTAGATACTAATGTGTACATAAAAATTACATTTATTTGGAAAGATTTCAACTTTATGGGTATTTCTGCGCAACGCGCGGGTATTCGCCTAGTATACTTATAAAGGAAGCATTTTTCCTTTCACCATATTCATTTGAAACTCCCATTCTTTTTCCATTTCATCCCATTCATTTGAAACTCTTATGACTTTTCAATTTCTTTTTAATAATCATTATAATTTGGTAAATTAGGTTAAATAAATACCAAACTTAAAGTTGAATAATATATAAACTAAATTTAAATATTAAAATAATATATTTACTTCTACTTATAAAATTATATTTTTTAACCTTTAACATATTATTCTTAATTTATTAGTTTTAATAAATTTTTGGATGTAAAACATTATCATTTTAAAGGTATAATTTTGGAACAATTTGTATAAATACTTAAATTATTAAATAAAATAAAACATTACATGGTTAACTTAAATATAAATTTTAGTTTAACTTAAACAACCCAAAAACTATTTTCTAAATAGTTAAAAGTGATAAATTGTAGTGTCTTTCTAATACTAATTATAAGTTGGTTGATAAGGTTAAATAAAAACCTAAAGTGTAATAAAAAAATAGAGTAAATTTCAATTTTAAAATAATAACATTAATTCTATTTATAAAGTTATATATTTAAATTTTAAGATATTATGCATAAATTATTATGATTTAAAATGTTGTTGTATGTAAACCATTATCAATTTTAAGCTACAACTTTTAAACAATTTGGATAAAATACTTAAATTGTTAATTTAAATATAATATTAAAGTGTCAACTTAAATATGAATTTATGTTCCACTAAAAAAACCAAAGAATATATTGTAAATAGTTAAAAATAATAAATTATAATGATAAATGCAAAAACTAGATTGTAATGTCAATTTAACTAAAATATTTTCTATACTGTTTTTATAATCGTTAAAAGTTTTCAAATAAGTAGTCTAAAAAACTTACAATAACAATAGTTAAAAATAACTCTATATAAATGATTATATTGTTACCTTTAAAATAAAAAAATAGTGCTTCATGTTTTAAATAATTATAATGATAGAAATTAAAATATTAAAAGTTCTCAAATAAGTAGCTTAAAATAACTTACAATAACAATAGTTAAAAATAACTCTATATAAATGATTATATTGTTACCTTTAAAATCAAAAAATAGTGCTTGATGTTTTAAATAATTATAATGATAGAAATTAAAACATTGAGCAAATAAGTTTTAAAAAATTAGTTAACAATAACAACTATAAATAACATAAAACCATATATAATATTTAATTTTATTGATGCGTAACTCGCGGATATAAGTGATTTAAATGATTAAGATTATAATGTTATAATAAATGTATATATATTATCGTATTATTCAAAATAATCAATATATTATATCGATTTAGTATACGAATTATTATATCAAATTTAACAACAATGTTAGTTTTATATTAAAAATGTATATGTATATTTGTAAACACTTCAACTATATAGGTGTTTCTGCGCATTACAAAGTCAACTCAAATATAAATTTTAGTTTCATTTAAAAAACCAAAGAATATTTTTTAAATAGTTAAAAGTAATAAATTGTAGTGATACATGCAAAAACTAAATTATAATCTCAATTTAACTAAAATATTTCCTAAAGATATTTTTAGAATCATTAAAAGCTTCCAAATAAACAGCTTAAAATGACTTATAATAACAATATATAAAAATAACTCTATATAAATTATTATATTGTTAGTTTGAAATAAAAAAAAAGCAATGTTTGATGTTTTAAATAATTATAATGATAAAAATTAAAACAGTAAGCAAATAAAATTTAAAAACTTAATTAACAATAACAACAACTATAACTAACATTAAATCATATATTATATTTAATTTTATTCATGCGTAACTCGCGCGGTAGAAGTCATTCAAACGATTGAGATTATGAATTCATAATAGATGTATATATTATATATAATTCAAAAGAATCAATATATTATATCAATTCAGTATAATAATTTGTATATCAAATTTAACAACAATGTTATTGTTATATCTATAAAGATCATATATTTGTAAAAACTTTAACTATATAGGTGTTTCTGCGCAACGTGTAGGCGTTCGCCTAGTATTATATAATAAGATAAATTTCCTGTTCCTTTAAGAACAGTGTTTTGTTTTGATTGGATTTTTTTTTAATTTTATTCTACACCTATTTAAAAGATAAACTCA